TACCCATCAGCACTAAAACGTTTGTTCTTCCTGTAGGATTCAAACCAGTCCAGCTCTAGAAAAATCCTGATGACTCTCAATCTGTTCAAGTTGTGAAACATCAAAACATTTACAGGAAAGTTGCACTCTGGGAACATGGATTGGTTCCTCCTATTGTCTTAGTTCCTCCTGTGCTTTTTTATTTATGTTGCGCTTCTTATTCTTTCAAAATGTAGCTTTAAGGTATTTAAAGTCTGAGATGTATCGACTGGAAATGAAGGCCAAATAGTTAACTGGAAGTGATGCTGGTCAGAGGCTCTCAGTCTGTGTCTGTTTAGTTTTTCTTCAAAATGACAGTTTGCTGCTTTTATCAAAGCTTATAGAAACCTCTCTAACATGGCTGCACATTTAGCCTGTTTGTAATGTGATTATATCTGTTCTTATCATTATGTTTTACCAGTTTAACGAGGCTGTGGGGGGTCAGCACTTGTTAAACCTGCTCTGTCTGACTGAATCTATGATCAGATAGCGAAACAGAGAATTTCAAACACACAGCTCTTTGTTTTCTCCTCAGAAAGCACGATGTTGAGGCTTTGTTGGTTTTATATTGTACTCATGTATTTGCAAGTAAAAGGGCAAATTATTAATATTACAGTTCATTCATAAACAAGTTTATATCTGATCAACATGAATCAAACATATTTCTAAGAAATGCACATCAAAAACTGGATGAATCAGTAAAGTTATCTAAGATGAAAACAATAAAGTTTAGAGGTGAACGATGGAAACTCTTTGGGTGACAGAAAACTTGGTCGGGTCCTGGTTCTGGTTCTGGTCCTCAGAGTTCGCCCTTCAGGAGCTTCTTGGCTTTCTGCATGTTGCTGATCACTGAGGGAAAAAAACCAGCAGCAGTGAGTCCCTGAACAGACTGCAGATCACACACATGCAGATCACACAACACTTACACAGGTTGATGTCGCCGGTTTCATAGGCGTACATGCGGTTAGCGTAGCGCCCGTTGATGTCTGCCCTCACAGTCATGGAGGGGTCTGTGGAGAGAGGAGTGGAAGCAGTCAACAACTGGGAGCTTTTACTTTAAAAACAATTCCAAAATTACATTTCCATCATTGCATGTGAACCTAAGAGCAGTTTGATCAAAGGCATAGGTTTGATTTCAACTTTGGTCTGATGTCATTGGTCTTATGCAAAAATATGCATGCTAATTTTTTTATGCTTAACGGTAAAATCAGGGTGTGTTTAATTTAAAGGTACACTATGCAACCGGTGTTGTTTTTCCAGCGAGGCTCCCCCCAGAGGGCGAAAGTAAAAGTGCACTGTCGTAAATATGCTCAGCTGTTCTCCTGGTTTCTCCGTCAAGCCAGGCGCGGTTGTTTTGAGCTTAGCAGACAGGCGAACGCAACCAATCACCATGTCTACTGCTGTAAGTGACTATTTTGTTCCAATTTTCGAGGTTGAAACTTTAGCATGTTTTCATACATTATTCTCTTGCTGGTTCCGCCATGATAACTGCACAAATATCACCACTGCGCTAGCAACGAGCATGCTTTTAACTGGGGGCGTGTAGCAGTTCTCGCCATAAAGCAAGACCGACTCTCGCGATGCACGAGACTTCTGAGCCTGTGGGTGCGGGCCGAGGGCTCCTGCAACTGCAAGTATGGTATTTCCCCTACAGACCACCAGGGCGGCCGAGAAAACCTTTGTT